CTGTACGTGTTCAGGTTGCAATTCAGGTTTAAATCCATTTGCCGTTCCTTTGACCATTCTGTGGTCAAAGGAACGGCAAATGTTTTCAAGAATCAGATAAATATTTTCAAGAATCAGATAATCAGCATTGTAAAACTCAGGTCTTATTTCTTTTAACATTATAGTGTCAAGTAAAGACTTTTGTGAAACTCCGCTTAGAACATCGGTCCAGTTGCTATAGTGATTACCTAAAACAATTCGCTGTTTTCTATTATTTAAAAATGACTCAATCCATATAAGAACATTTTTGTTCCATACGCTTTCAATTTGTAGAGTAGACTACGGTGAGAAACCTTAGCAAACGCTTTTGCGAAGTCTAAAAATGCAATATTGATTAAACTATTTTTTAGCAAACGTTTTCGTTATGTAGTAGACACTCTCCAATAAGTTAGGCGTGCATCCTTTTTTGGATATAAATCCGTTTTGATTATGTAATATGCAGCCCGTTTTTTCAAGATATTCAGTTATATATTCCCTTTAAAATGAATATTATGTCATTGTCACTTTTCACTATGTAGCTAATTTAAACATAAAAGTATAAAATTTTCTTTATGTAAATGTACCCAAAATGCTAACTTGCTGCATAAGGATTTCGTCTGATAATTGAACCCCAGGTTATTTAAAATTGTCTCTTTTAAATACTCATCGAATTCCTTAAAAGTGATTAAAAGTGTGTGTAAAAAATGTTGCATTACTCTGGTTTAAAAACTTTTTGCTAAACAGACAAAAATGTGTAAATACTGATGAAAATATCTGTTCAAAAATGCTAAAGATCAAATGTGGCGTTCCCCAAGGTTCCATTCTAGCTCCCTTACTGTTTTTAATATACATTTATGATCTTCCAAAAGCCTCAAACAAACTTGATGTCATAATGTTTGCAGATGACACTAATTTATTTTATTCATCCCCGTCAATTACAGAACTTTTTGAAACAACGAATATTGAACTCGAAAAACCTAATATTTGGCTAAAATCTAATAAACTATCTTTAAACACAGAAAAAACTAATTACATCTTATTCCATCCAAATCAAAAAAGAAAAAACTACTAAATATTTTGCCATTGCTTAGAATAAAAAACAAAAATATTAAAAGAACCATAAAAACTAAATTCCTAGGTTTACTTATTGATCAAAATATTTCATGGAAAGCCCATATTGACTAATTAAATACTAAAATAACCAAAAACATTGGCGTGCTATACAAAGCTAGGCCAATGTTATTCCAAGAAAATCTAAAACATCTTTATTTTTCATTTATACATACCTATTATACATATGGTAATATAGCATGAGCCAGTACCCATAAATCTAATTTAAAATCACTTTATCAACATCAAAAACATTCCATTAGAATTGTCTATAAAAAAGATAAACTCACTCATGCTGAACCTTTGTTTAAACTCCTAAATGCACTAAACGTCTATAGAATTAACATTTACCAAAACTTACTCTTCATGCTAAAATTTAAACTCGGGCTTGTCCCACCACATTTCTTAAATGATTTTTTTAAAAGCAATAAAAATAGATATGACACTAGAGAAGTAGGAAACTTTAATGTACCGTTCAGAAAAACAAAACTGTCGCGTTTCACAATTTCATATCGCTGTCCCTATCTCTATAATAAACTGATATCCAAAAATGCCATTATTACAAAATTAGATAACATAAATTGTTTGAAAATCTTACTAAAAAAGTTCGTTTTAAATATCAGCAATTATTTGAACTTACACTAAACTAAAACTGAAAGTAAAACCAAAGTTATAATTGAAAACAAAATCCAAAAAAAACTTCAATAATATATATAAACCGGTTTATTTATGACAGATATTAGTAATCATTTTCCGGTTTTTATAAAAACAAAAAATCTAAAAGCTATGACTGATTGTCATTCAAAAATCATACATTTGAAAAACGAAATGTAAAAATGAGTAACACTAATAAATTAACTAATAGACTAAAACAAGAAACATGGAACAATGTATATAAATGTCAAGATACGAATGGAGCATGCAATGCTTTTTTAAGTACATTTTTGGAGTACTTTAATGAAATATGTCCTCAAGAGATTATAAAAATTAAGTCAAAAGCAATCGCTAATCCATGGATGGGTAAATCATTATTAAAGTGCTCAAAAAAAAATCAAAAACTTTACAATAAATTTCTGAAAAATAAAAAACAATGATAATGCAAAAAGTTACAAAAATTATAAATATTTTTACCAACATCTCATTAAAAATGCAAAAAAAAAAATTATTACCGTAATCAAATTAACAAATGCAAATTTGATTGCAAAAAAACATAGTCCATCATCAATGTCATAATGGGAAGAGAAAAACTAAATTCACCTTCTCTACCTAAACGAATTGTTATTGAAAACAACGATATATTTAGTCAAAAATAAATTTTGGAAGAACTCAATAAATATTTTACCAGTATTGGTCCAAATCTTGTAAAAAAAAAATAGTACCAACATCTGTATCATTTAAAAACTTCCTTAAACCAACGAACAATATTATCATGCTTGATTATGAATTAACCTATGAGGAATTTGAGGCAGCTTTTTCCTCGTTAAAAAAAAAAGACTCCAGGATTTGATGGGATATCTAGTAATATAGTTATTGCAAACAAAAACAGTCTTAAAAGACCTCTAATACATATACTAAAGCTTTCGTTAAATTCTGGGATATTTCCGGATGTACTTAAATTAGCAAAAGTAACTCCATTGTTCAAATGTAATGATCATTCTGACATTACAAACTAAGGCCTTTATCAGTACTTTCTGTATTTTTAAAACTATTCGAACGTGTAGTTTATAATAGAACCTATGATTACTTCATTAAAAACAATTTTTTTTACCCAAATCAGTTTGGTTTTCAAAAAAATCTCTCTACTGAGTATGCAACCATTGAAATAGTAAACCAAATAACTAATGGTTTTGAAAATAATAAATTTACTTTAGGAGTATTTCTTGATTTATCAAAAGCATTTGATACAGTGGACCACTGTATTCTCTTAGATAAATTAAGACATTACGGAATAATTAATAAAACTTATTATTGGATTAAAAGCTATCTTACAAACAGAAAACAATATGTAAATAATGCCTAATCTGGAGTGTTAAATGTCATATGTGGAGTTCCGCAAGGATCGATTCTTGGTCCACTTCTTTTTTTAATATATATAAATGACTTCTGTAATGCATCCTTAAAACTTATATCAGTCATGCTTGCAAATGACACGAATTTATTTCTTACCAACAACGATATCAAGAAATTATATGCGGACATGAATATTGAACTAAATAAAGTAAATAACTGGTTTAATGCTAACAAACTCTCACTTAATGCAGAGAAAACAAACTATATACTTTTTCATAAAAAAACACAAGAAGAAAATCTTCCTCTAAAATTGCCGAACCTATTTATAAATGATAAATTAATTAAAAAGCAATCCAATATAAGATTCTTGGGAATCGTTGCTGATGAAAAATTATCCTGGCTTCCTCATATAATATATATCCAGTCAAAAATTACCAAAATCATAGGTTTAATGTATCGAGTTCGCTCGTACATCAATACAAATAGTCTTAAATTAATCTACTTTGGGCTAATTCACAGCCTCATTAGCTATGCAAATATTTCATGGGCAAGTACTCAAACAGCAAAGCTTAAGAAACTTTATAGTTTTCAGAAACATGCTTGTAGAATCATTTACTTTAAAAATAGGCGGAAACACGCTAATCCCTTGATGAAAGATATGAAAATGATGAATGTATTTAAAATAAATATCTACCAGCATTTAATTTTCATGTATCGTTACAATCACAATATCTTTCCTAAAAACTTTAATAATAAGTTTGAGTTAAATAAAAATGATAGCTATAATCTTAGAGCGAATATGTTGAACACATATAAACTGCCTAGGATAATAAATAAATATTCAGAATACAGTATGGAATATTTTTCAAAAAGAGTTCAAAGGTACGGTGAGTTCATTAAGTTCATTCAAGTTTTTAACAAAAAAAAAGAAATCTTTAAAACCTGTGAAACATTTTTTGTTAATAATGCGTTGGATAAATTCTCTTAAATACGTTTTTGTTTTGTTTCTACTTTTGTTTGTTGGTTGACAAATTTTATTAGCGGATTACACATTTTGTTATGATATTTTATTGAAATTTTTATTTTGTATGTCATATTACGATATTTTAATTAAATCTTGTTAAAGGGGTTCTATGAAAGGAATGCGATGACGTTCTGTCATCCTCATCTTCTTTGAGCTCCTATCTGTTTTACTTGTTTTGTTAAATATTATGTTATGTATTGGAATTTGCAAAATTCTTATGTTATGTAAACAGAGAAAAGAAAAAGAAAAAAAAAAAAAAAACTTCATATTAAAATAAAAAATCAATATAAGTGAATAATAGTTATATTTATGCTTAATAATATATTTATGTGTATTATGTGTACTACAAACAGTATTTACCAACTTTTTTATTTCTTCATTTTATTATATGTGAACCTAATATAAAATAAAGTATTTTGTGAAACTAGATACATTGTAAAACGAAAATACAAAAAATATTACAAGTACAAGCGGTTTCTTGATGACAAGACCATCTGGTCTTCTGCAAGTTTCCCGCGTTCTTTTAATATTAATGATACCCTACAATCTTTTGTAGGGTATCATTAATATTAAATTTTTACAATTTTTTGTATTTTATAAAATTGTAATATATTTTTAATATTATATATTTTAAAAACATTATAACTTTGTACCGATCATGTAGAATCACAATATTACAAAGATAAAAGAACAAAAAAAAAAATAATAATAATAATAATAATAGATATGTTATAAAATGAAATTAAAAAAAAAAAAAAAAAACACTAGTTTGACACCTGGCTTTGCTGGCTCAAGTCAAATCATATTCTGTTTATAAAATACTAAAATAAAAACAAACCTGAGATTGACACAAAGGGATGATTAGTAACGCATTCTCTGTTTTCTTTTTCCTTTTTTTTTATTTTTAATTCATCTCCTTTTGGTGGATAGACCAAACCAAAAAAAGTTCCATCATCACCATAATGAATTAATTGTAAAGTTTTTTCATTATTAAAAACTCGTGCGGTGTCAATATTTTTTTCCCAATCCCTTTTTCGACTTTCTCTGCTTCTGTTATAATTGCAGCTGCAAAAGCTGAAAATATATTTGGTTCAATTGGCTTCTCAATTATTTTACATTAGTATTTGATTCAATGAGTTATACTTGATTGCGACAACAAGGCTTTAAATTGAAAGAAAGATACTTAAAAGGAAGCACATCATTTTAACACAACTGATGATTTATTCATTAGAAACATAACGTGTTCACTTTTTAATAGCAAAAAATCCTGAGCGATTGCGATCCATTTTGCTTGTACAACAAAAAGCTCTATTGATTGATTCTTGTCATTGAAATCTTCGTGAAATCTTAGCCAAAATGAACAACCTTATGTGTATAAAAAAAAATGCAAACGTAGACAATATTTTTTGTATAAAGTTTTTGAAAACTTTGTGTAAATATAATTTAACTTAATAAGTACTAAAGATACTAAAAATGAAAGCCAATTGTAAACATACCGTTGATTTATTAATGACAGTTTTGCAGAAGAAATTCATGGATAATATTTTTGTTCTCCATTCAACATCTTATTTTGTGATTTTTCAATTTCAATGTATTTACCATTATTTTGGTAAATTGTGCTATATTGGCATCTTGAAATGATTATTTTTTCACAATGGTTAAAGTTTCTTCTTTTCTTAATAATATAAAAAAAAACAGTTTTGACGCCGTTTGACGTAAAACATTATTGAGACTTGGTGACGTCCTTTCCTGTCTGTATTTTACCATCTAGATGTTAATTTATTATCTATTGATCTTTATTCAACAGGTAAAGTTATGGTTTGCCGGCGCAATGCTCTTTCGCATTGCTATATTTGCACCATGCCACAGCTTCTACCAACTGCTTGTTTTTTGCATTTGCGTGCATTCTTGTAACTATTAATTTTGATTAACTATTTGGGTTTATAGATCTTGTTCAAGGCTTAAAGTAAGCATTGTTGTAATTTTTTTTTTTTAATATTTCTAATATTTATTTCTTTACAACCAATAAAAATAAACATACAAGTTGCTTCAACAGCAATTCATAGAATATAAAAATAAATCTAATATACCTACTACCAGTGGTGTAATTATATTGTATAATATCAAATTCATGCATGTTCACTTTTCCTATGAATTTATAAAGTCTGAGTTGAATAGTATAACTTTTCTTGATGAAAAAACTACCGGGAAAACGTTTTTCTTTTACAAAAATATACTTTTTCCTTAAATATTGACTATTTATGTTACAAATGTACGTAATGACTATTTATAATGCTGATTAATCGTATGCTTTATTAAAACAAAATGCTTTTTGTTTTTCAGAGTTGGTAATGCCGCCCGGCGGCAAAGTAACTTTCTGCCAAAAGGCCGACTTTTTAAGGAGGCGGAAGCTGTTGACGGCGGCCTCCTGATTAATTTTTAGCGGCAAAATGTTCTTTCTTCCGCATCCAGTGGCTTCCGCTTTTCTATTGACTGCCGCAGCCGGAGTTCTTTTTTGGAGGCAAAATGTTTTGGAGGCCGACGCCAATAGAGTGGCCGAAACCAATGGTGGCCGCCTCCAAATGAAATTTCGGAGGCAAAGACATTTTGAAGGCCGCCTCCAATGGCTTCTGCCTCCTAACTGGCTGCGGCCGTCAAATTGGAGGCGGAAATATTTGCCTCTCGCCGGCGGATGTAACGTAAAATAATTGCTCGTTTGCTTTAAAGCAATTCAATATTAACTAGAAACAAATGTTAAATACTTGTTGTAATAAATAAACTTGTTGTAATAAATAAATAAATAAATGTTAAATAAATTAACTTTATAAATTATTTTAAATAATGTTAAAAGGGCGACAAAAAATCAAACGATCAAAAACTTTAATTATTTGTCATTAACTTTTTTTTTTTTTGCTTAAGGCATGTCAACAAAATTTTTAATTTTTTAATTTTTGTTTTGAAATAAAAATTATTAACTTATTCGATAAAAGTAGATAAACAACCGCTTTGACAAAGTTATTATTTTTTTTCAAAAAATTTTTTAAATAGTCGATAAATAATATAAAATAAAACTTTGATGTCAAGTATTTAACATTTGTTTTTAGTTAATATTTAATTGCTTTAAAGCAAACGAGCAATTATTTTTCATCACATTCGCCGGCTGGAGGAAAATATTTCTGCCTCCAAGTTGACGGCCGCAGCCAGTTAGGAGGCAGAAGCCATTGGAGGCGGCCTCCAAATGGCTTTGCCTCCAAAATTTCTTCTGGTGGCGGCTACCATTGGCTTCCGCCACTCTATTGGCGTCGGCCTCCATAACATTTTGCCTCCAAAAAATGAACTCCGGCTGCGGCCGCCAATAGAAAAGCGGAAGCCACTGGAAGAAAGAAAGAACATTTTGCCGCTAAAAATTAATCAGGAGGCAGCAACCGTCTGCTGCGGAAGAAAATTGGAGGCAAGAAGATTTACGCCTTTATCAACACTGTTGTTTTTTAAAATATAATTTTGTGTATAAATGACAGTTAATATTTAATTATATCTTATGAAAATAGCTAATATAGACTTATTTTCAAATTAAATTTCTGCCATTTTATTTTTCAGATTCATAATATGTTCATAATAAAAAGATGGCGTTATTAGATAGTAAGAAAAACAGAAAATCCACTAAAATTAAGCTGAGCGAGTATCTCGGAGGTCCAAGAAAGTTTCTCCAAACTGATCGTTGGCAGCAATGTCTAATCTGCAATACGAAAAAATGTTTATGAAAAAAATCTGCGTTTGAAACGCAAGAAATTTATTTTAATGTCGCTTACAAAGTTGCAAAATGATGGTTTATTTCTAACACAGAGTTTAAAGAGCCTTGTATGTTTGTGGTGCTAAAGATGTAGAATTAAGACTCAATAGAAGTTGGTCAATCTCTAAGATAGCACGACGAAAAGTCTAAATAACCATCAAAGAGTTTTGGAAGGTTTGAAAAGTTTACGTCATTTGGAAGGTTTGAGAAGTTTACGACATTTGAGAAAATAGAATAGGAAGCGGTCTATGACGTCAATTAAAATTTTAGCATTCCATAAAAAAAAAAAATACATATTATTAAATAGGTCAGGTTCTATGTCTTGGTTTCATATTTGAATGTGATTTTCCTACAAATTAATTATAAGTTGCCAATCATGTGAATATGAATTGAATAAATAAATTTAAAATAATGTTTTTAAAAGATAATTTTTAAGCAAAAAGTTATTTAATGTCAATATTAAAAAAAGCCATCATGTTACTTACGTCACAAAAATAGCTTGTTGTGACGTAAGTAACATGAATTTATAAAATATTTATTCTCGCTGATGAGTATGTCATATATGAAAAAAATGCATTATGTTGTAATGAAAACAATATCAAAAAATTTTCTATTCAGTATATGAAAAACGCCGCAAAAAAAGTAAAATTGTATAAAAGAAAAGAAGGCTCATGATGACACAATATAAACAAATATTTAGGGAGCCAAACATATTTGCGTTCTACTAATTTCGTCACTAATATGACGCAGAAACTACGAATAAACGTTTTCTTTAAGAAGTTATTTAAGAAATAAGAGAATAAAATAAAAGTAACAGAAAACTACGCCAAACAAGTTTCTTAGGAAACGAACACTAATATTGTTTATGACAAAACTTTGCCATGAATTATTTTTTAACTTTAAAAGTCCTTCTTCAAAGAAAATTAAAGTTGAGGAAATTTTTCTACCACATGAAGTAAATAAATTAAAACATTTGTCTGGTTATGTTGTAGAATTCTAAAAAAGTAAAATAAAACTATGAGTAGCATAAAATTAAAAGTAACATAAAAATAAAACCAAAAGTTAATTAACGATAATTCAACAAACCATGCTATAATCGAACTAGTTAATCATGTTTCGGATGCATTCAATAATGACTATTTTACTCTTGGAGTTTTTATTGATCTGTCGAAAGCCTTTGACACTGTTAACCATAAGATACTTATAAAAAAACTAGAACTATATGGAATAAAGAATAAAAATTTACTTTGGTTTAAAGACTACCTAGCGAACAGGTCACAATGTATTATTTATAATAAAAAAGAAAAAGAAAAACATATTACATGTGGTGTGCCCCAAGGTTCAATCTTAGGGCCATTATTATTTTTATTGTATATAAATGATTTATACTTAGCATCAAATATTTTAAATGTTATATTGTTTGCAGATGACTCCAACCTTTTTTATTCCAACAAAGATATAAAAGCTCTCTTTAATATATTTAATGAAGAACTATTCAAAATAAACGATTGGTTTACAAGAAATAGGCTTGCGTTAAATGTAGAAAAAACTAAATTTATTTTATTTTCCAAACCTAGTAAAGGTGATGATGTTCCTCTTAAATTACCCAATCTCCTAATCAATAAAATATTTATTAAAAGGGAACCAATCGTTAATTTTCTAGGAGTAATAATAGATGAAAATTTGTCATGGAAACCACATATAAAATATATAGAAAATAAAATATCAAGAAATATTTATATATTATATAAAACTAAATCATATCTTAACACCTCTTCTTTAAAAAAGATATACTTTTCATTTATTCATAGTTTTATCTCTTACTGCAATATTGTATGGGGTAGTACTAACTATGGTAAGTTAAAAAAGCTTCATAGTAAGCAAAAACATGCATGCAGGATTATACTTGGTGCCCACAGAACTTTTCAATGTGAACCTCTTTTAAGGAAGCTCGGTGCCCTATGTGTCTATAAACTTAATATACACCAAGTTCTACAATTCATGTTTAAAACTAAAAATGAACTCTCTCCTATTGTATTTCAGTCTTACTTTAGTGAAATCTTGCACAAGTATCCTACTAAATTTTCAATTAATAACTTTATTGTTCCAAAAACTAATTCAAAACTAAATTCTTACAAAATCCAATACCGCGGACCGTTTCTATGGAAACATTTTTTAAAATTTATCACAAAAAATAATGTTCATCACATCTCTTTGAAAAAATTTAGAAAAGAATCTAAGAATCTCTTATTACAAAAAGACTTTGATTTAAAATATCTCTTTTAAAAATAATACACAAATAATATAAATTATCTAAAAAAATAGTTATTGACACTACTTCTCTTTTGTTGCAATTTTAATTTAATTTTTTGTTGAAAAATTTTAATACTTTTAAATTATTGTTAATCTTTGATATAATGCGTTATATTTCAACACTAGTATTTATTTTATGTTATTAGTTATATTGTAACTAACGTATTTAAAATTCTTGTTATGTACTAAGCTACTCTTCATTTTTTATATTAACTGACGATTTTTTGATGGGGCTTGATGATGGGGCTTGATGATAAGACAATTTATGTCTTCTGCTTGCTCCAGTTCTCTTATTAACACGATTTATTTCATTGTAAATTTTAATATATGACAAAACTCTTTGCTTGAAAAAAAAAAAAAAAAAAAAAAAAAATTAAACAAGTACATTCAACTTACTTAATCAGTACGATCAACACAAAAAGTAAATAAACTGCAGTCATATTGAGGAAAACTCTAAAACAGTTAGTGATGATTACTCTCAGGTACTTAATACAAAGAGGGAGAGAGGTGTAAGGATGGGGGGGGGAAGGGAATTTTAGTCCAGTTTTATAAACGATGGGGGTCTATTAAAAGGGTGGGTTGAAATTTTTTTACAGAACACAAAAAAATTATTTAATTCTAGCGAGGTCTGCGGTCAAATGCGCATTTTTTAACTGATTCAATATTATTCTATGGAATTTAATATTCTTAAATAAATTTTAAATTATGGTGAGAAATAAACGAAAACCTAAATTTAGACAAATCAAAGTTTACGAGGTTTTTTTTCCAAGAAATTTTTTATCGGTTTTTAAAGTCTATTTACACTGAAAGTTTTATTATTATCAGTGACTGATGCAGATTTTTTTTTGGTTTTGAGATTTGTTTTTTATTGATAACAAGTTAAAATTAAAAAACGGGGAGGGGGTGTATTAATAAGCATGTGGAGGTTGGTAAAAGCTTTTGAAAATTTATAAACGTCCATTCCCGTTTTTTGTTAATGATTTTTTTTATTAGTAGTTATTTTTAATTTGTTTACATGTTTTTAGTATGAATGTTTGAGGTTTGTAAAATAATATAAACTGTTAATTGAATTTAAAAGAAGAAAGGTTAGGTGATGTTAGTTTGAAGACAAAATATAAAAATGTGCTTAATTTCTCGTTGCGTTTATGAAAGAAAACTACAAACCAACCGGGCTAAAGAGAAAATTGGAGGCCCTCCATAAAGTACTTACGCTCGTAGAGGGTTCTTCAAATAGCGTACGAAAGCGTATGAGGAGAGAGGTTTAGTATAAAAGTACGAAAGCGTATGAGGAGAGAGGTTTAGTATAAAACGTACGAAAGCGTATGAGGAGAGAGGTTTAGTATAAAACGTACGAAAGCGTATGAGGAGAGAGGTTTAGTATAAAACGTACGAAAGCGTACTTCTACTATATAGTAGATACCAAAATACTTATGTGTATTTGTTGAACTAGTTCATTAAAGTTTATTTTATGTTTTAAAGGTTCTCGATGAAAAGACTATTTTAGTCTTCTGCGAGTTTCCTTACAACAAAGTAAATATTTTTTAAGAATAATTTTATATATATATATATTCAACAACGTCCACAAGCAAGTCCCTAGTAGCCCTGTTGTACGACGGACTTGCATATATTTTTTAAATGCATGGGTTAATAGCCAGCACTTTATATTATAAACAACGAATAGTTACCTTATTTTGTACACTGTACAACGCGCATGCGCTAAACAGAATTTTGAATTTCTTTTGTCTTGTGAAAATTTTAATGGTACAAAATTGTTTAATTGTACGTTTTGTACTTATATGTAAAAATATGTAATTTTGTTTTATTGAAATATATACGGATACTTTTGTTGTAAAAAAAAAAAAAAAAAAAAAAAAAAAAAGTAAAAGTTTCATCACAAAAATACTAAATTTTAACTTGGATGAAGAATTAAAAAATTGCACCAATTTGTACCTTTTCCATATTTTGATACTTTTTAGTCTATAGTGTCTACTAACTACCCTGAGAAGTGTAGCTGCGATCATCCGCGATCTTGAGCGCTTAATAATTTTGAAAAATTGATGTTTTTTTAAACTTCTTCGAATAAAAATAATTTTTTTCATTCATTGCAAAAAGTAAAAAAAAAAAACTACTTTAAGACATGAAAGACCAAAGTAAATTTGTTTTCGAGTTATTATTGAAAGGAAAAAAGTTATTTTTTATTTTAATTTTATGAGTTTATGCTTTTAAAATTATTTACATAAATAATTTTAAAAAAATAATTTTAAAATGCATTTTTAATGTCCCACTAATCGACCAAAAACCACATGAATTTCTATATGTTGTTAAAAAATTTCTTTTTACTTTGTAAGTTTATTTTTGTGAACTAAGATAATGGAGGAAATGTTTATATAATGTTATATTATGTTTTCAGATTTCATTTGAAAATGTAAATAATGGGTTTAAATACATTGTTACTAGGATTCAAGTCAGAGAATACAAAACAAATGTATTAAGAAAGAGATTAAAACTAACTCTTGCCAAGTATGTTGCACTATGACATGCATCATATAAAAAAAAAGAAATTATTATGTTTGGCTTAATTAATTTTTTAAAACAATTGATTTATTTGAATCACCAAGTAATCAAGAGAGTTTAATAAATCAATCAGCAAAAGAGGTCGACCAACAAAAAGGCCTGATGAATCAAGTTCTCGAACCAAAAGACAAATAATACCACATATATCATTAGATTCAAAAACGGAATCCGTCAAAATATTGTTAGTGATACAAAGAAAAGCATTTAAAAAACGTGACTATAATTAAGTCAAATTATTTAGTGTCGTTACAAAGAAAGCGCTACGAATTGTTATTGCTTTACTCTAAGCTAACCACATTGCAAGAGAGAATGACGTCTGAAGAAGCTTTTGCATATTTATATTTCTAGGATAACAAACTTTCAAGAGGTGTTTATAAAAATACCCATAAAGAAGCACCATGCAGATTTCTATCTTATCGAGTAACTTCCAAAATAAAAAACTAATGCTCACCTTTAAAACATCCATTGAAGTTACTGAAACAAAGGCCAAAGTTAAACTACAGGATCTTATGGATCACACATCCAAGTGACTTGCA